TTTCCTAACTGGAAATTAATGAAAGCAGATAGGCTGAATCATAAACTGATTTTATGGAAAAGTTGAGCTAATGAATCCCGCGTTGCTTCAGCTTCCTCCTCTGGTCACGATCGCTGCGACGTGCAAGGGCAAAGGAAGCAATAAAAGTTTTATAGATGGGGCTTTCGAGTGAGGAATATGGGGCTATTTTTTTTGGAGTTGGTGCGAGTGAAACCGGGCTGGAGGCTGTGGGAGGGGCTGGGCTGAGGGGCGAGCTGTGCCCAAAGGCTGTGTCCCGGGGGTGCGTGTCGGTGCCCTTCTCTTGGAGACATTTCATCTTCGCCGAGTGCCACCTCTGCCTTGGTGAAGGCGAAAGGCTCTGGCTGGAGATTGGAGTAATTAAAAGTTGTGATCTGTCCACGTGGGCCCAGCAAAACCGTTCCTAAAACTTTCTTTCATAATAAAGTTCCCAAAATGCCCCTGCTTTTTGCTCAACCCAGCGCTGTTGTCAGCAAAAGAGAGCCCTCATGCTCTGCTCCCCCAGTGGGCGATGGGCACGGCTATGAGTCGGCTTAAGGGCTCCCAGCTGAGAGCCACGAGGTCACCTCTTTGGGTGAACCCACTGCAAAAAACCCTATTTGGGTTCTTCTCCAAATGACACCTGAAAGCGTTTCCATTTGTCGCCGGCAAGCAGCAAAACAGCCCGAATGTTTTGAAAACAGGATGCTCGGGCTCTGCAGTACGAAAGAAAAACGGAAAGAGAAACAGGCCGAGATAGGAAGAAAGCGAGGAGGCGCAGCGTGCGGCCGGCGCAGCGCGGCACAAACAGCGACCGATCCGCTGACCTCCTCACCGCCGGGCCCTGGCCCACAGCCACGACGGCCCCGCGACGTCACCGAGCGCGATAGTAGGCACGGCACAGCTGTTGCAAGTGTGACTCGAATTTCCTGTCTCCTTCCTGACAGACGTAGTTTAGAAAACCCAGAGTTGCAACAACAGCGGGCGGAGAGGGAGGACCTCCGTGGACGTGTTTGCAGGGCGATTCTCAGAAGTGCTGCACCCAAAAGGAATTGCCGGGGGGAAGCACCGGGCAGGACGCATCCCAGCTGCGTGCTGATGGGTTTCGGAAGGCAGCGCGTAGAGCGCGTGCGTGTGCCTTTTTAGGATGTGAGTTAATAGCGGGACACGTGTGCTAATGGTGGTGGGAGCGACCGAGCCCGTTGCTCTGACCCACGTGGGCCGAGGGACGTCGGTGGGACTCTGTGCTGTGAGTGGGAATCGGGCAGAAGTGGGCAAAGCCGGAGCTCTGTTGGCTGCGTGCGTCCCCAGCAGCTCTGCTGCCCACTGGGGGCTGCGGGACGGCCCCACACCCTGCCTGCTGTTCTGTTTCCCAGTGGTTGGCACACTAAGCTTTCTACATCAGAGAAAAACTACCTGGAAAAGCACCGGGTTGTGGGGAACGCAGCCAACATGAAGGGAATTTCCTCTCCAGCGTCAGGCAATCCTCACTGCCAGCAGGGCACAGCACCACAGCAAAACAAAACTGCTTTTAGAGCTCCGTTGGGCTCTAAATCTACAGATTCATATTACTATTTTATACATATATATATATACATATATATTTCCTGCATTTATCTTCATGCCCAGCTCCCAGCTCAGGCAGTGCAGACCCAGAAGGACCTGGAGCCATCCTGACAGAGGGGGTTTCTCTCCCAGTGCCCACCCCCCACGCTGCACTATGTCTGCTCCCCCAGCCCCAGTTCTTCCAGGGGTTCAGTGCCCAGCGCATCCACCCCTGCATGACAACGAGGGGAAGAATTTCCAAGCTGCAGCACTGGGAGCTGCAGCTCCCAGGTCATTATGGGGCCTCAATATCATATAGCATATACCTATATGGCAGGGGATGGATCTGCCCCTAAGAGCAGCTGCCTTGTCTTGAAGGCACACCAGGCTTCCTGGGAGCTGTTTGCAGTGACTAGATGGGCATGTTGCCTGATGTGTAGCCTGTGGGAATGTTCTGGTTTGGAGTAGTCAGAGGTGCTGTCACCAGATGCCTTCCTCATGCCCTCACCGCTTTGGAAACCCATTTCCAGTTGGACTCGATGATCCTTACAGGTTCCTTCCAACTTGGGACATTCTGTGTTTCTCAGGGGGAGCCTTCCAATCACCCAAGTCTCTATTCAGCTGAGCAGTGCTGGCTGGCAGGGCAGGCAACAACCTGACCCCAGGCTGGGACAGAGCAGAACGGCCCCGCGTGCTCCCGCTGTCACACGTCAGCCAGAAGCCACTAAGATAAACACAGCCCGCTGCATTCTGCTTGTGTTTCAAAGGGCAGAGGAGAGCAAAGGCCACACTGTGCTGTCGGAGCAGTGGTGGATAAGCAGTGTAACCCCAGCAGAGCCCCTCGGGGCCGTTGCCAGCAGCGTATGTGCTGTGTGGCACAGCCTCTGCTCCATGCGCCGCGATGCTGCGGGTCTTGGCCCCAAACCACGTCCCCTTCATACGTGATGTTTCCCCAAAGTGGTGCCAAGCTGTTTAGTCTTCGAGTCTCTCTGCTGTAACTTCCTTTGTTTAACATCCTTTCAAGCAGCCGAGCGTCTCACAAAGAGGAGTTTGTCGGCTTGCACAGCAGCCAGCGAGACAAAGAGACTTCCACGTCTCCTGTTTTTACAAGCTGGGATGAATCACCCGGCCCCCAGTGCGGTTCCGTGCCGGTATTCCCCTCGCCTGGGGACGCGCGTTGAGGAAACAGCGCTGCCTGTGCACGGCTGGCAGCACCCGGTGGGACAGCAGGCAGCATCCTGGCGCTGCGCTGCAGTGCTGTGCTTCTGTGATCGCTGCCGAGGGAGCTGAGGTCGCAGCGTCCGCTCCGTCTTTCCTTTATTGGGTGGTGTTGATTGGTGCTGAAGGCCTCCGAGAGATGCAGGCACCGGCTCTTGCGTGGAGCGTGGGGCCTGTTTTTGTGAATGGGAGCAGCTGAGAGCGATAAACGTGAGGTTCTGGTGAAGGAAGAGGAGGAATCTGCTCAGTGTTGTGAAACCAGGAGCTTGGTGTGCTGGGGGCTGGGGAGCTGGCTCTGCCCCACACTGCAGCAGCTCCCATTACTTCCGTGCCTGGGCTTGCAGGTTAGCTCCCTCTGCCCATCCTCATCCTCCCCCCTTTCTCTTTGGCTTTTGCAATAAATCACCCTGGTTATATGAAATATGTCACAACAGTGGGCCACATATAGGCTTATTTGGCAGACTGCTACTTTGGTCTTGCCCTGAGGGCTGTTCATTCCAAGATACCTTGGATAAAATGATTCAAAAATACATGTATATATTAAAAATATATGCATATATATTTGAGAGCTGAATTTTGCTCCATTCCATCTTCCCAAGTTCCACCATCTGTCAGGACACAGCAGGGCCCATGGCTCCCTAGCTCATCCCGTAGCGTTTTCTGCTTGTATTTGGCTGTTTAAGTTTTGCATTCTCAGACTTCTACATTATAACACATTAGGGTGGGGCTTAAATAAATAATAGCTCCAAGGCAGGTTCAACATGAATCACGATGTGAGGGCAGGCAGGAGGTGACTAACAGTTTACAGCGGTGACCTCAGGAAGCGAGGCGAGGACAGCAGAGGTACCAAAGGGGCATTGCTTGGTGTGGGGTGGGCTGCCAAGGGGCATCGTCTGTAGGGACGCGGGCAGTGGGCAGTGGGATGGGCTGGGGCTGGACTCGGTGATCCTAGAGGTCTTTTCCAACCTTGCAGGTTCTGTGATTTTATGCCCTTGTCGCAGCACAACCCCCAGCTCCTCGTTTTTCACCCGGGTGCAGAACCACTGCTTGCAGGGAGCGTACTGGCGAGCAGGACATCTCTAAGTGAAACTTAATTGGAAGAAGTTGTGTTACCAAAGCCAAAACACGCTGTGGAGAGCTTGTCTGTCAGAGCTCCCAGAGGCAGAGATTTCCCTGATGAAAGCCTTCGCTCCGTGTTTAAAGCAAACAAATGAGGGGTGCCTCACCTTGCTGCTGTCAGAGCACAGCTGGGCAAACGCGGTGTAAAAAACACTGCAAGCCATTTGCCTATCTCTGCGTGAGGAGGAGTTTTCATTTGAATGCATTTCCATTAATGAGCGCATTCCGATGCCTGCATTGGGCTCATCTGCATGTGGGCACCCCTCCTTGGAGGGACGCCGTGCTGCAGGGTGAGGGGCCAGAGCTCCTGGCTGGGTCTGGCGGAAGCTGCCGGCGTCCCGCGTTGCTGTGAGCATCCCTGAAAAGTCATCTCGGGGCACAAAGTGATTTGAATTTTCTAAAGCCTGTTCTCCCACTCAGGTAAAACCCCAGCTGGATTTGCCTAAGTGATGACTGCAGAGCCCGGCTCAAATTTAAATTAAATTTAAATTGCTGCTTCGTACGATTAACGAAATCTCGGTTTTAATTGCAT